TGGATTTAGTTCATAATATGTAAAAGTTTCGATCTTTTTTTCACAACTTTGGATATGTTTGTTGTCAGAATTTTACTCACTTTTCGTTTCAATTTTGGTTCATATTGAAGAGTATGATATTATGGAATTTAGGAATTTGAATGATGAAGGGTAATGTTTGTAAATTATGTTATTATGTTAGTTAGTTGGCAAACTAGTGGAATGGAGGACCCTTATATACACCAACAACTACGAGAGGTAACTGGAAACGAGCACAATTGAAGAACGGCTTCTGAATAGTCAAGATGAGATTTCTTTTTACCACTATCCTTTATATAGAGTTATATCATGTAAAAGTCTTTACAGTCTAAGACATTCTATTTCCTCTCTATAGAGGCACAGATAGCGTGGGATTAGGTTGTTTAAGTTAATTTGTGGCTTACACTAGTCTAAATAATACTATGTGTTCAATTAAAGAATATTTCAGATTTTAATAATTAATAAAAGTTTTTTTTCCTCATTGGTAAATGAGATTCTATGTTGTTCTTGTTTATATAAACATTATTAGTGGGAGATTGTATTAAAATTGTGTTAAAGAAAAGTCTAGAGATATAAATAAGAGGGAGAGAAGAATTGTATGTATAAGGAGGGACTAGTGTGGCAATAATTAAACCTCTCCAAAAATATAAACGACAAAAAGAAAAATACGTATAGATAGAAATTAGTAGGAAAATATCATGCATTGGTAGAAATTAGCTAGAGACAAAATAAAATATCAATATAATAATATTCAAGTATGTGAAAATTTTGTTTTAAAATTTTAAGTTGCAAAATATTTAGTTATGTGAGATAGAGTTATGAGGTGTTAACTAATAAAATGAATAAAAATTCACAATCATTTGAGGACTTAAGGCCTAATATATTTCTATAATTAAAATAAGAGGATGTGTTTTATTTGATTTTTTACGTTGGCAAATAATTTGATGCTAATTAACAAATTTAAGAAAGACGGAATAGTTTATTGATTTCATCCTAGGATTCTGGAACCTTTCTCACAATTATTTGTTTTATTTATTTTTTATTATTATTATTATTTTGGGTCAGTACAGTTCAAATTTTCAAATTTCAACCCGATTTGTCATATTGATTTTATTTAGATCATTATTTTACCATTCCAATTGTAAATTTTTCTCTCTTTTATTTTTTCTTCCTGTTTTTGATTTTCAAATTATCTATCATCATCCAAATTATTTAATGATTTGATTTGTTTGTTCATTTCTTTCGTTTGTGTACGCATTGCTATAAAAATGGTAAGAGTAGGATTTTGTAAAAATCTATTAATTTATATATCAAGTGTATAAACAAAAAACAAAAAAAATACATTATTTAGAATACCTATTTTATATAACATAATGTTCTTTCTTATTTTCAAAATAATGGTTTTATTTGCTAAGCAATAATGAGTATCACTCTAATTTCTGAACAATTTTCTTGTACATTGGGCTTTACTTGGGCTTCCAATTGGACTCTACATTCAAACCCACAATAGTGATTTTTGCTATTACTGAAAATAAGAGCGGAACTTGATAGTACAGAAAATTTAGTTACGGCTGATTATTTTTTTTTAATTGAAATTTGTATTTATTGTTAAACATTAATAATTTCTGAAAGTAATTTAAGATTCTAATGTTGTAACTAATGTATTCACACAGACAACGTTCTCAAATGCATTAAGGCATCCAACCTTTTTTTTTTTTTGATCAATTGATAAAAAAATTTATAAATAATATAATTGATAATTTTTTTAAATTAAATATTAGATTATTTAGAGGGTAATTCAAAAATTGAAGAAAATACGAAATGGCTTGTTGAGGTTATTATCCAATATTTTTATACGGATATCACCATGAGAAGAGTTCATTGGTTGTGGCATCTTTAATTCCTCTAAGAAGTTGACAACATGAGTATTGAATATCAAAAGATTGTGAGTTTGAATTTCTACACTCACATGTGATATTAAAAAGAAAATTCATCTCGATTGCTCAACCCAAATATTTGTTTGTAGATTACATTTTACACTACCTTAATTCAACTTGGTAAATATTTGTTTGTCTCCCCATGACAGTTTCATGGGTTAAAATTCAATAAATTTAGTATTTGTTTGGTATCAGTTTTTTGGGTCATCCACCAAACATCAATTAATTCATACCATGATTTAATCTTGTTTACTTAACGAAAATCAAAATAAGAAAAAATCACAACAAAAAATGGTAGAACAATAAAATAAATTATAATCTTGTTTCATTAAGTTATTTGGCAATATAAGTTGGAAATAGGTCCATTACATCATGCTTTAATCTGTTTGCTAATATGCAAAATGAAAACCAAACTTGAAAAAGCAAAGTGTCATTCTCCTCAAAATCTAGAATCATTTTGTTTTTAAAAACTCTCAATCTGAACTCGTGATAAACAATTACAAGTGAATGAAGAAGAAGATTCTAAGTACTTACTAGTCAACACTCATTTTTACTAACCACTATATAGATGATTTAGAAAGATAGACACTTACCAGTTACCACCTGAATAGTATTCTTCTCGAAAAGAAAAAGAAGATGGCGAGGCATCGAGACTCCACAAATATTATTGTACTCATACAGTGTTAATTTTCAATGACAAAATGAATGAAATGAGGAAAAAAACAGTAGAAAGAAATTTCAGTGGTTTGAGTTAGAGGGCAGAACTTTTTTTGGTAGCTAGATATATCAAAAAGACACATGTGATGTGGGACATTTTGTGCTGAAGTGATAAGTTTGATTGTGTGCTTTTTTACAAAAGGAAGAAGCAATAGCAATCCATGGTTCTTAAGTAGCAAAAAGTTCAAAGACATGCCTTCTCTTTTTCTTTCTTCTTTAGCTTTTTGGTGCACTTGATGATGTCAAGTGCTGCTCTGATGGGTCCTTCAAGCTTAAAACACAACACTTTCTTGAGCTTTAAGTCTAATATATAATACCCATCACTTTGCTTTTGCAATTATTCACTCACACCATCTTCCAACCTGCCACTTAAGTGGGTTTATTTTATTTTATCACAAAAACAACCTGAATCATTCCCTTATTCAATTGGGAGTAGAGATAAGTTACCTTTATATAAATAGATACTATAGTTATTAAATATATATTTAGTCTTCCAAATTCCATCCACAAGTCCACATGTGTTAAGTGAAGGATTAACTTGTGTTTCGTGTGTAAGCTTAGGAAGTCTGAATTTAGGAAAATCAAGTGAAAGAGTGGGTTTGAGGTACCATTGAAATCTTTAAACTTATTCGTCGAACCCTCAAACATGGGTTCGATATCTTGAGCAAGACATTCCGAGATAGTAACGTTCAAACCAAACACCCCTATTTGTCTGTGTTGTTGTTTATTGTTTTGTCATCTTATATATCCCATGTATTTCATGAGTAAAGATGGTAGAGGGAAAACACTATTGTGGAGAAAAAGCAAAACAGTAAGTTGAAGTCTTATCAAGTTCAAAAAAGGCAAATTGGTTCCAAGATTTAGCTTCTTTTTTGGGTTTTTTTTTTCTTTGGGAGATATTAAAAGATGTGGAGAGACAATAAAGAAACCTTGGTAGACCAATCAGACAATTTGATAAAGGGGGCTCATGCAATGCACCATAAGTTTCAATCATAAATAAGATACTTGCCTTTTTCCCATTGGAAATGGAGCAGTCAACATGATATAGATTGCACATTCCAGATTGATATCTACAAACAACTAGAAAGAAAGTGAGAAAAATGATGAAAAAAAGAAAA